TGGACGTGGTAGCGGACAAAATGGGGAGGCTAAACGAGACGATGCACCAGAGGCTGGTGAGAAGAGGAAATGTGCCATTGAACCTGATGGTGGTCCTGATACAAAGGGCAAAGGTGTACAACTATGAGCCAGGCTGGGGGGTGAATTCACAGATGTGGCAAGAGTGACGTATAGCAGATGTGTGGAGGGTTTGTTGATTTGACCCACATAGGCAACATAGGTATCGAAGGGGGAAATGGTGTTGGCATTTGAACACTACAAGTCAGGCTGTGGGGTGGATTCACAGATGTGTAATAGAGGACAGGGTGCCAATTTTGTGATGTATAGCAGATGTGTGGAGGGGTACCAAGAGGCAATGTGTCAGGGATGCGAGGTGTCTAATATTTGTGTGACAACAAGCAGTTGGGGTTGATGTGTTAGGCCTAAGATGCTTTCGACCATTTCAATGCTGAGTCCTGGATGTTGAACCTATCCATGCCAGGAGGGGCTGACCGTATATTCCGAGTGCAAGCTACTACAATGATTAGCTTATTATAACAAAGCATCACAAGTCAGAAAAACAACGAACCTTCTCCAGCTGATCCAATCACTGCTTTATGACAAGTTGATTTGAGTGACTATCAATTGACCATGAATCTTGATTGTACAGCGGGTTTGGTTAGCAACTCCGGTTGTGGTTGCTATGAGGAAGTAGGGATGAGTAAAGTTTAAATCTCATTGGAGGCACTCCTAGAGCTAGCTATCTGTCAGGAAATCACATAAGTTATTGAAGAAATATAGAATACAAAGTAGCACATAAGACTTCCAATTCACTGCAACCCCGATAGTGGTTTGGATAAATATTGCAGCTGTTTGCCAAAGGCACCCAACAACGACTATGTGTGGGTGCTCTTCATTGGCCTTTCAGAATGATATGTACATAGAGAGCTGGTATTGTATAGTTGAGTCCATTAAATGGGCAATGATGTTACGACCGGACAATCCCACCAGACTCCGGGCACTAACCCATACGCCCCCACGCACTACAAGCACCAATCGTCTGTTTATAGGATTTCCTGCCCGGACTCCGTTACGTCAAGACTCATTACGTTCGACCTCATTACGACACATATCAGTCACTGGACTTCCCCCGGACTCCGTCTCTGTCTATGTCCGTCTTCGTCCCACGCACCAGTCACTGGACCCCGCTTAGAATTCTGTCACCGCTCTAATTGAGCCCCGTTCCCGTTTTAGTCAAATGACCTGTCACGATTTAGGACTCCGCTCCCGCTCCGTTTCCCATTATGGGTTATGCTTTGTCACAATTCGGACTCCGCTCCGTTCCGTTCCGTTCCTGTGAGGGGTATGGCAAAATACACTCAGGAAATATAGTCGGATGAGCTCTTACTATATTTCCTTTATTATTTCTATGTTCTCTCTTTTATTATATCTATAATTAGTTCGATGACCTATGTATGCGGTACATCGACTCTTGTGGGCGCACACACGCCAGACTTGTGTATTCTAGCGCCCGTAGTTTAGAACTCAGACACTTTTTACACCGCAACCACGACTTACCCAGACACCCATTAGTGTCCTGTAAGTTGTGATTGGTGTATCGTCTCGACCATCACAGACGGGCTTTAGCTATCTACTCTATCAGAGTTTCGAACTGTACCAGTCGAAACTCAATCCTTATCGCAACTCGCATGGACCACATCCACGCTACTCTATTATTCGACTCTCTAGTACTCTACTTTACTCTCGAGCAGTCGTTCAGAATCGCACTTGACAGTCGATTCTACTTATTCGTTTAGCTCTTTACCTTATTCTAGATAGCTACTTCCTTCTACCATATCGAACTAAGTAGTCAATACGCGTTCATTCTGTATTAGACTTCGACAGTCAATACATCTTAGTGTCGTACCTAAACGGTCGATATTCTTTGTATATAGAACGGTTAGAACTTCCACTACTCTTCACAGTTCCTAACACCAATTTGGTGTTTACTATTCCCATTTCATGTTTTGTTAGTTTCGTTTCGCCATTACTGGATTTGGTATGTCATTCACTCCATGGTCTATATAAACTGGCAGATGTTGTACATACAATCCAGTCAGAAAATTAGCTTAGATTCCCCCCAGTAATCTAATAATATTTTCCGCTCTAAAACCTTACTCGATTCACATCGCTCGCACTAGTCGGAGCCCACGGGCTCCGGTGCATCTACCTCTCTCAACCAACTCAACTCACGACCCACGACCCCCGACCCCCGACCTACGACCCACGACCTCCGACTTACGACCTACGACCTCCGACCTACGACCTACGACCCACGACCCCCGACCCCCGACCTACGACCCACGACCTCCGACTTACGACCTACGACCTCCGACCTACGACCTACGACCTACGAACCCCGCCCGGACTCCCCGGGATCCCTGTCCATCCGTTTGAAATTGGACAACATGATCTAGTGAGGGTGCAGCCTATAAGCTGAAGCCAAGTCCTACCGGATATCCCACGGGTTTCTCCAGAAACCCGGCCTGTGTGTGTATCCTAACAAATGACAATGATTATGCTTACTTGGAATTGATGCAGGCAACTTGTTTGATTGCACCCCCTTAGCAGGTTTACGCCATGCTGTTTTGTCACACAACAATGTCACAATTCCTCAGTCTAAGATTACATAATTTACAACCAGGCACAGAGAAATGTGTCTGTCTATATACAAAATAAATTATAGAATACAATGTAAGATCGTGCAGAAATATTCACAATATTAGTTACAATATGTGACTCAATTTATATATAGTTTATAAGTCATTAAATGGGCTTGAGCACGAGAATTTACGCAATAAGTAAAATAAGTAGTCCATAAGTCTATGTGGAGCTTATATTTACTGCAAAAATTTACACAGTAAATTCTCATTAAAGACAAGTTCGGAAGGGGACTTTTTTGACTGGCATTGTCATAAAACTATTATAAATGATTTAAGTAGCATTATATTAGGGTTTAGATGAGAAATCACACTGCGATACTATATTTTTCCCAGTTGCATGTTAGTGTGGCCAGTTGAAACTCCGCCACAACTGATTTACGAGACTTATGTGTAGTCAGAAATTAATATTGCACCAATTCTGAAAGTGTAATCTGTCCTTAAACCACAATAAAATAACAGAAAGGCAATGCATACTCCTGTGGACTGTGTTACGACCCGTTCCCGGATGTTTCAATATCCAACTTCCGATCTCCCACTTTCGATATCCGATATCCGACTACGGAACATCATAGTTACCGTATCATCCGCGTTCTTCGTTTGTTCCGCATTTGGTAATTTGTCCGTTGACAAGTATTCACTCATTTGTTGTTGTATTCCCATCTCGGAATATTGTCTTCCTAATATGTCTTATTGTATTTCCGTTTTAAGAACACTTCCGTTTCCGTCTTATTATGGTCTCAGTTTGTAGTACAATAACGAGTAGACTTATATTAGTTTCCGCGAATTTGTACTTTACTTTAGATCTGATATCGACTTAGTTTCTTATTCCTCCTCCCGTCTTTCTGTACGCTCGATATTCGGAACTCTTCGGAACTCTGAATATCCATATCTTCCGTCGTTAGTTCACTTCCGAAATTAAGGACATTGAGCGTTTGCGTAGAGGCGCAGCACATAAGCTGAAGCCGACGTCCTGACCCTATCCACGAGTTTCCGACTTCCCGGTGACTTCCTGATAGTTCTGGAATAAGTTCCCGACACGGCACTTAACAGACTGGCTCATGGAATGGTTCACTGTTTCAGCAACCAGAGGAGTCAACTAGACCCAAAATGACAAGTAGCAATTTCATAATGTCCACGATTAAATAGTAGATAAATATACATTTATTGCTCATGGTACATAGATAAATAAATAAATAAATAAAAAAGACAGGGATTAGAACTACAATTGCATGGAAACATTGCGATACTGTTGTTGCACGGTGCCCACTTTCAAGGTCAGGCCCAAACATCGTTATGGATTCTCTCACAGGTGGTCATGATAATCTTGCATCCACCAAAGTATCCTAAACGTGGAAGCAGATGCCGTCAGCGGCCAGGCTGGTTCCGCATTTACACGATTGACGGGATTTATGCGCCTAGGGTGTAAATTTTGATAAATAAAGGAACTTATTTTGACATCCTGAAGAGACTTGGTAATTTCCACTGCATTATCACATTTCTGCCTGCAAATGAGATGCTTAGCATAGCTGATATCAGCACATATAGGCTTAGTTGGATGACCACCAGAGGACTTGAAAGCCTCAGGACAGTATTTAAAGTGCATTTTTGAGATAGTTCCAATACTAACACCAGTGGTTTGATGAATAGAGTGCCTAAAGACATTAGAGAGGGGCAGAGTAATGATGTATTCATGAATAGTAGGGAGAATAGTTGTCACAAACATACAAACTCAAATTTTGATAATATTCAATTTAATATTTCTTCGACATTCCTTCAACTTTCTGACTCAATTTCCAACTTGACTTCCAACTTGACTTCAACTTGACTATTCTTCAACAATATCTTTGACAATATTGAATATCTTCGACTTGTCTCAGTTTGATGTCATTGATGATTTCACTTTGATATCATATTATCATCATAGGTAAATGATATATGTATATTATATAAGAGCAATGATAGGAATGAAGGAAGTCAGTCAGAAAACCTGTACTATATTATATTATTACTGTATTATATAATCATCGAACTTTTTCCGAGTCTTTCTTTGACTTAATTATTTGTGAGCCTCTGTGTCCTATCTTTGCCTCATGCTTTATCAACAGGACGAATTAATACTTTGTCGAATGAGGCATCTTTATTTGATATTGTTGAATATTCTTCAATTGTTTATTCGACTTTATTGAGTAAAATTCAATTCATGACAATAGTGTGCATAGTGAATTATGGGGACAAGCATGCTAAAAGGCCTTGTATTTATACTTGAATATAAACAAATTTAAAAGTGTAGAAAATGAATGGCCAGACTGGGGATTGAACCCAGGGCTTCTGCATATATATATAGCAGGGGTGTTAACCATTACACCACCTGAACCCTGGGAGGCACTGCTAGCATTACTCAATCTAACACACTCCCTTAATGTTAGCACTCAACTATACTATAAGCAGATATACAGTGAGGGACAAAACCCTTCCAATGATTTTTAGTTGTGCAAAGATTCTTGAATAACTCAAGAACCACTGTAGATACAGACCTGAAATTTGGTGATTGGTTAGGTCTACATGTTATCTATATGGCCTTAAAATATTATGACATAAGCATTAGTATTTCCTATGCTATAAATAAAATAATAATAGAATCACATTGGAAGGGTTTTGTCCCAGTCACATGATTAACACAAAACCTTATTGATTATCAGCAAATAAGGTTTTGTTTAATCATGTGACCTGTCAAAGTTAGATATATATATAGCTGTTCACTTTCTAGTTCAACAACATCCCCACAACTCAACATTCTACACTATGAAAGCTCTTACTCCTCCTCAGGTTAGCCACATTCTCATTTTGCTCAATAAGGGCAAGTCTACTTCTCAGATCTCTGCAATCACTGGCAGAGATCTGTTTACTATATCCAGAATTCACTATACCCATTGCCCATCACTTGCCAAAGCACCTGGTGGCCATCCATGCAAGCTTTCTCCTTCAGATATTCATTATTCCCTCTAACAAATCACTTCTCAGAAGGCAGAACATGTCACTGAGGTGACCAAAATCCTTCAAAATATGACTGGACAGTCCATTTCAGTGAAGACTGTTCATAGAGCACTCAAGAAGGCTGGAATGAGGGCTGTGGTGGAGAGAAAAAGCCTTTACTCACTAAGAGGCATAGGAAGGCAAGGATGGACTTTGCTCTGGCACACAAGGACTGGACTGTAGGTGATTGGAAGAGGGCTGTTTGGTTAGATGAGACAAAAATCAATTGTTTGGAGTTGGATGGGAGGAAGTAGGTGTGGAAAAAGGCAGGAGAGGCTCAGTGATAGGGTGGCTGAGGGTACAATCAGGTTTGGAGGAGGAAATCTGATGTTGTGATGCTGTATGTTGTGGGAAGGACCAGGATATTCCACCAAAATTGATGGAAGGATGGATGCTGACCTTTATGTTAGCATTATGGAAGATGAACTTCAAGAAATCATGGAGTATTATGGCAAGAACATAGGAGATGTGGTCTTTCAGCAAGACAATGTCCCCAAACACAAGAGCAAAAAGGCCACCAATTGGTTTAAAGACAAGGTATTTGTGGTCATGGTATGGCCACCTCAGTCTGCTGACCTTAATCCAATTGAACACCTCTGGTAATACCTCAAAAGGAGGCTGGGTGGCACCCAAGAGTATTCATGAGTTGTGGGAGAGGGTTCAGACAGAGTGGGAGAAGATCCCTGCCTCTACTTGTCAGAACTTGATAGAGAGTATGCCTAGAAGGGTTGAGGCTGTTTTGAAGGCCAAAGGAGGCTATACCAAGTACTAGATTGTTTAATTTGTATTTTTTTTATACCAGAGACAAAACCCTTCCAATGTGATTTTATTAGTGTTTTATTTATAGTGTGGGAAATACTAATGCTTATGTCATAATATTTTAAGGGCATATAGATAACATATAGACCTAACCAACTTCCAAATTTCAGGTCTGTATCTACAGTAGTTCTTAAGTTATTCAAGAATCTTTGCATAACTAAAAATCATTGGAAGGGTTTTGTCCCTCACTGTAGGTCCTCTCTGGCTCTTTTGTCCAGACTTGTCCACTATACCACACACAAATATAGCTGTTCACTCTACACACAGGAACCATGCCCTATAGCACACAGTGGGGCCCATTGTCACAACCGTCACATGTCACATATTGTCACAAACATTCAAAGGTAACTTTCGACAACTCTTCGACCTATTGAATTCAACTCGACAAACCGAACATTAATCGACACCATTGAATCTCTTTCGACATGTCTCATTTCGACGTCATATATGATTTCATAATTAGTTCATAATATAGTCATAACGATACGACGAAAAGCATAAAAGGGCTATGAAAGAAGCAAGGGAAGTCAGTCGAAATATCTGTATATTAGTGATATTAGTAATCTACCTTGTCGTAACTTCTTCGACAAATACTTCCGTGAGTTCTCGCAACTGGTAATAGCCTCTTACTTCATCGACAGGGCGAATATATACTTCGTCGAACGAGGCTTTCGAGTTCGATTAGTAGAATATTATTCGACTTTATCGAAGAATAATCGATTCGTGACACCCATAACCTGTTAAAAGTGTAGAAAATGAATGGCCAGACTGGGGATTTAATACAGGTGTTATGTATTTTTAGGTTTTTCCAATTTTTAACCAATCTCCCCTAAACAAATTGATAAAAACAAGTTTAAATGTACTTATATTGCAACGAAATTATTGTACAATAGTCTCTTGAAATTTAACCTGATTTTTACAATTTATTTCATATTTTTATCATTTATTTTGGGAGAGCTATCGAATTTCTACTGTTTATTCTTTTTTATCTAAATATCTTCTAAGTCGGCCAATCTGGCACTTATTGCACAATGCGCGGGAATATTTGTCACAACAAGTGACTGTCATCACAAAATGTGACGACTTGTCACAAATGCGACAAGTTGTCACAAACACGACAAGTTGTCACAAACATGACAAGTTGTGAGTGGTGACACTGTGATTGGGGATACTGATGGTGGGACACTGGAGGATGGGAAAAGTAGAAATGAGGTTGTGAGGGGCCAAATGACTGGGATCCTAACAGTATCCCCCTATTAGGTCAAGATCCTTCAAGACCTTCTGTTAAGATCTAAGCCTAAAGGAGGGAGAGGCTCTAAGTTGGGGGGGCTGATGATAAGAAAAAAAGTTAATCAGGGGGTTGACAATTGAGATCATACTAGTCAGGAGGTCTGACTCTATAAACATAGTGGAGCTTGGCTTCAACTTATGTATTGCACTCTCACACAAACTGTTAGGGTGCTTCAGTATTTCATACAGTGTGGATAGTATGATAGAGACAGAGATCAACACTTAGTTCAGTTGACTGGAGGGCCAAAGTACTAAGAGTTGAGAAGTAAAGGGTCATGGCTTGCCAAAGACACCCAGAGGATATTATGAGGAGAGGGAAAATGCCAAGGTATTAAGATCTAAGTAAATGGGGGGAGGGGGGCTCTAAGTCAGGGGACCAATGAAATGGAAAGAGCTAATCAGGGGGCTGACAATAGAGATTGTACTAGTTGGGAGGTCTGACTCTATAAATGTAGTGGAGCTTGGCTTCAACTTATGTGTTGCACCCTCACATGAACTGTTAGGGTGCTCCAATATTTCAAACAGAGTGGATAGTACAATAAAGGCAAAGATCAACACTTCGCTCAATTGACTGGTGGGCCAAAAACCTAAGAGTTGTAAGATAAGAGTTCATGGCTTGCCAAAGAATGTCTTTGAGGGTATTGAGAAGGGAGGAAAGAGACTGAGAACTAGTAGAGGGTAATCTAAGTCAATTTTCAAACTAAAAAAATGTAGCATACATGAAGAAGGTTTATACTACAATGGGATGGATGACCAGAGGGCCGATCAAAAAAGTGAAGGGTGAAATTGATCATGCAAAGTTGATGACAAGGTGGGGAGACTTAATATAAAGTACTAAACAATACTAAAAAGGTACTGAGGTGGCAAGTGAGATGTGTACAGGGAGATGTACAGGGAGATGGTGACAGGAGAGTAAATAGAACAGAAAACTAAAGGGGTCAACACTATAATGAAACAAGTGTTAGGGGCACTGTGGGTGATAACATGGGTGGGAGTTCTAACAGTGAGATAATGAAGGGTATTGGGTCCAAAACAGGTTGTGGGGGTCTGAAATGACAGGGATCCTAACACAAGGATTAGAAGGGGGTGTCAATTTTTGAACTGAAGAAACTGTAGGATACATGAAAGAACTTTATACTACAGGTATAGTATAACCAGCCCCACTATCCACAACCCTCACATCCTCAGTTCAATATAACCAATGCCCATGTTCCAATGATCTGCTCCCCACTCCATCATTATCCTTGTCACTCCCCTTTTCTTATTCTTGTTAGGATCCCTGTCATTTTGGACCCCTGCAAGCTGTGTTAGCCTCATAGCTCTCCAGCATCCCAATATTGGTACCCCCACTCACAGTGGCACCACTCATGGCACCTCTGACACTCGTTTCTTTGTATATTAGTACCTTAGTATTCCATCCCATCTCCATTCCATTCACTCCCCTGTCACCATTCCACATATACATCCTATTTGCCACCTTACACCTTTTCAGAATACTTTGCTATATTGTATTTAGCCTCATTTGGATTCCCATTCCTTTTCCTTACTTCCTTTTTCCCTGTCATCATTCCTGCTTCTCTGATTGGCTTTCCGATCATCTGTCTCACTGTAATATAAAGCTTCTTCTTGTATGTATGCTACAGTTTTTTCAGTTCGAATATTGACTTAGATTACCCCCTTTCAGTTCTCAAGTCCTATTACTCCTATCTGTTAAGATCTAAGCCTAAAGGGGGGAGAGGCTCTAGGTCAGAGGGACTGATGATAAGAAATGAGTTAATCAGGGGGCCAACAATAGAGATCATACTAGTCAGGAGGTCCAACTCTATAAATGTAGTGAAGCTTGGCTTCAACTTATGTGTTGCATCCTCATATGAACTGTTAGGGTGCTCCAGTATTTCAAATAGAGCAGATAGTACAATAGAGATGAAGTTCAACACTTAGCTCAATTGGCCAGGGGACCAAAGTATTAAGAGTCAAAGGTAAAAGTTCACAACTTCCCAAAAATGTCTTTGAGAGTATTGAGAAAGGAGGGAAGGGACTGAAAACTAGTAGAGGGTAATCTAAGTCAATTTTTGAACTGAAGAACTGTAGCATACATAAAGAAGATTTTATATTACAATGGGATGGATGACCAGAGGGCCAGCCAATCAAGGAAGTGAAAGGTGAAATGGATCATAAGAAGTTGATGACAAGGCAGGAAGACTAAATGTAAGATACTAACAATACTAAAGG